TGTTGCGGATTCAATCGATTTCGTGACAGCGGTCGATAATCGAATTATAATCCGCGGATACAGTCGGAATCAATAATAATCCGCGTGAAGCCGGAGAGGCAGCACTTCCCGGCAAGCATATTTGGCGTGATTGTTTTCGTCAATCACGCATAATACACGTGAAAAATCGCGAATCGTAAACAAAATTCCTTTGGGTTTCTCGGCAGCATACGAGTCGGCAGTCGCACAGAATCTCTCCAAAGGGAAAGTCGATAAAAGTTGAGCGTAATAATCAATTAGCGGGTTATATTTTAATTAAGTCGGAGCATTCAACACGAATTAATTACCACGAGTGCCGTATTGTACAGAGTGCTATACTATCGAGATTTAGTTGCTGCAAACATTTCGGCGAAATAAGTGATAAAGCGAGCCCTCAGTTAAAGTGCAATCTCTTGTTAGACTCTGAAGTGTATTACGCACAGTAACGACTTTTAATCAGTTCTAGTTTCACATGTCGGTGAACGAACAGTAGCGACTCATATTTCAGATTTAATTCACGTGTCAGGGAGTTAAATTAATGTTATCTCTTACACGCCGACTATTCGATCGCATGTAAGAATATTTGAAAATTCAATACTCGTATCAGAGTACACTTTGCGTTCACGAGAGCGGTGTCCTTCAGATCAAACAAGGTCAAAAAACAATTGCGAAAGCACTCTCTGCATGTGACGAATAATATTTATAGAAGGTTCTTTTGGATTTTCGACTCGACTTAGTGATTGTGAATAACAAGCGAGATCGACTTTTATATACATTGTATCTTGTTTGCATCAGTATTAAAAAGAGAAAAGGAATGTTTTGAAAATTCCTTCAACGATCTCATCTTTATTGTTTATAACTTGTGAAGTGAATTAATCAATAAATTTGTTAATGTGTTATATTAAAGTGTAATAACTTTGATTCGGCACTGGCATAAACTGCCACTTTCCTTCGCGCACCAAATTCGGAGCGCGTCCATCCTACGTTAATACAGTTCACTCATATCGCTCAAAACTGAAACATTTAATGGTCCTTCGAGCCGGATGAAGGAGTGGCAGCGAATCAAAGTGTTCATCGAGTGATTCGAAAACTAACTCCATTGACAGTTCAAGTGATATTCAAGTACAAGTTCTAACGGTTACTCCAGTATATTTCAGTTCAAGTTTAGTTTTACCGGAGAAAGTAAACTTCCACGTGATAATATTCATAGCAGTTAAATAGCATTCAGTGAACTCTAGTGTCAGGATGAAATCGGCACTTACGAATCAACAAACTGCATTCTACTCGATAGAGCGATCTCTCGCTAATTTCAAAAAACTCGGTTGTTCCAACTGGACGCCCGCAAAAATTCGCAAGATTAGCGAGTTTGCAAGAAACTTGGAATCAGTGCGTGCGCAATCACGCAATCCTTATTCAACTTGTTCCCGAAGAAGATCGAGATGAGTGCGACTACTTTAAAGATGATCAATTTGCCTTTCATGAAGATAGCTATCAGACAGCCAAGGACTTCATGAACGAGTGTTTCGAGGAATTAATTCCGGTCGTAAGTCACGATTCGTCAACCGACACTACAATTTCCCGTAACGAACCCGCGTCTTTTTCGTTAAAGCATCTTTCACCAATTAAGCTACCCCCATTCTCCGGAAAATCCGACGAGTGGGAAACGTTTCGAGATAGATTTCAAGCGCTGATCATCGATAATCGAGACCTTTCGGATTTTAGTAAAATGCATTTTTTGGTGTCGAGTCTCACCGGCAGTGCTCGCGACGCGATAGCTGGCATTAAAGTCATTGCAGATAACTTTCAAGTAGCGTGGAAAGCGTTAACAGTCAGATTTGAGAATAAACAAAGATTAATTAAAACGCATTTATCTACTTTATATCATCTTCCATAAATGACGCGCGAATCAGCTGTTGAGCTCCACGCACTGCGCGACAAAACCGAGCAAGTAATCTCTACATTAAACCGTCTCGATCGGTCCTCGGACGATATAGTTAGTGATTTGTTAGTCTATTTCATATCACAAAAGTTCGATTCTGCTACGCGTAGAGCGTGGAAACTCAAAACAAGCGATAGCGATAATCCCTTAACTTATAAAGAATTAATACGTTTTTTATCGTCGCGCGCTCTCGCTCTCGAAGAGCTTCATTTTCATGAAAGCGATAGATCAAAATTGCACTCAAAAGTGACGAGTGCAACGGCCACTGCGTCATTTGAAGTGTCATGTTTGATGTGCAAGCAACAGCATATTTTCTCCAAGTGTCCACAGTTTGTTTCAAAGAGTCCTCATCAGCGACGCGAGTTAGTGAAAAAATTCCGACGTTGCTTCAATTGTCTGAGTAAAAATCACTCAGTGAGTGACTATAAAAGCAAATTTACGTTTTTGTAATAAAAAACATCATACCATGATTCACCTGGAAGCGGACTCCTTGCCATAAACTGTTTCTAACGTATCAAATTTGCATAAAGAAAGCGAAAATGCAGCGAGCGTTGCAGCGCTTTCATCCGTTACAATGACTACAACTCCGACTCCGGTAGTCTTATCGACCGCCAAGGTAAAATTGCGTGCGCCTTCTGGCCGCTCGTTAACCGTCAGAGCCTTGCTTGACGGTAGATCAGAGCTCACCTTCATTTTAGAGCAAGTTGCACAAAATTTACATCTAACGCGTATACGAACGTTTACGTTCACGTCAGGAATCAGCTGCGTAAACACCGGAACTTGTCGCTCCGCAGCGTTAATTTACATTATGCCTCGTGATAAACCCGAACCAATTTTTACTACCGTTGCTTACATCATGAAATCACTGACAAGATATGCTCCCAGAAGCGTTTCGAATTTGCACGAGTGGAAACACATTTCGAATCTCAAGTTAGCTGATGATGACCCTACCGGATCAACTCCGATAGACCTCATACTCAGAGCTGACTTGTACAATCAAGTACTCGTTAATGTGCATAATGGACCAATCAGGCAACCAGGCGCCATACAATCACATTTTGGATGGATCTTGTCAGGAACCACATCTGTTCCAAGTCATATCGAGTAGAACACTTGCGTAGTCGGTTCAACTTTTATTTCGTCGCTCGCGTCAAATAAAAATCATGATTCACGGGTCTCTAAATTAAATCAAAGATATCAAGTAGTCGCTCATCATTGTTTGTTAGAATATCAATTACATAAATTTTGGGAGAGCGAAGAAACGCCTCAATTTAGTCAGTTACCTCCAGAGGATAAGCGCTGTGAAGAGCATTTCCAGCGAACTCACTCGAGAACTGTAGACGGAAAGTATATTGTGCGTCTTCCTTTTCGAGAAGATTCTCCAATCGAAATAGGCGAATCTCGAGAAATAGCGGCGCGTCGACTTTGTTCACTGATTCGCAAACTTAAAGGTCAATCTACTATCAATTCAGAGTATTCCGAATTCATGCGCGAATACGAAGAACTAGGGCATATGCAACCCGTTCCTCCTTTAGAAATCCATCACTCACAAGTCGTGTACATCCCGCATCATCCAGTTATCCGAAAAACAAGTTCTACTACCCGTTTAAGAGTTGTCTTCGACGCGTCCTGCAAGACGACCAACGGAACTTCTCTTAACGACCATATGCTAATCGGCCCTAAGTTGCAATCGGATTTACAGGCTGTTATATTGCGCTGCGACAACATAAGTACGTTTATTCCGCGGATATAGCCAAAATGTACAGGCAAATTCTTGTTGATCCGCGAGATAGAGACTATCAGCGTATATTGTGGATCGACGGTAACGCGAACATTAAAGAATATCAGTTACTTACAGTTACTTACGGTACCGCTTCAGCTCCGTTCCTTGCACTTCGAGTGATAAATCAATTGAATGAAGACGAAGGTCTTTCTTTTCCGTTAGCCTCCACCATTTTACGCGACAACATCTACATTGACGACGTTCTATTCGGCGCAGACGATCTCTCGCAGCTAAAACAAATTTGTAATCAACTTCGCGAATTATTAAACCGCGGCGGTTTCACTCTTCGAAAGTGGGCGAGTAACAAAGCGGAATTGTTATAAGATATCCTATCCGCTGATCACGGTCTAGCTTGTTCTAAGAATCTCGAATCCGACGATAACCTAAAAGTACTCGGCATCTTTTGGAACCCATCACAAGATAGCTTTCAATTTCAAGTAACCCTTCCTAATACTTTTCCCATCACTAAGCGAACGATACTCTCAACAATAGCTAAGTTATTCGACCCCCTCGGATGGGTCACACCCGTCGTTCTTAAGACAAAGTTAGTTATGCAGCATTTGTGGCGACAAAAGATAGGCTGGGATGACCCCATTCCTAAAGAAATTCGGTCACACTGGAAATTAATTTACGATTCTCTTTCTCACATCACCGATATCAAATTGAATAGATAAACCGTGATTCAGACACAACGAGTGTAGAATTACATGGGTTTGCTGATGCATCCACCGTAGCTTTTGCCGCAGTAGTTTTTCTACGAATAACCTCGCGTTCCGGACGAGTCAAAGTCTCACTTCTTGCCGGACGATCTAAAGTCGCTCCAATTAAACCAATGAGCGTCCCTCGTCTCGAACTCTCAGCGGCAGTTGTATTAGTTCGTTTGATCAATTTCATAAAAGAGTCTCTTTATTTAACGAACGTTCAGATTCATTGTTGGACAGATTCCACAGTAGTTCTTGCTTGGTTGAAAAAACACTCATCAACTTGGAAAACATTCGTTTCTCATCGGGTGTCAGAAATCCAAACACAATTACCCGACGGTGCATGGCATCACGTAAGCACAACCGATAATCCCGCCGATTGCGCTTCGCGCGGATTACTCGGTTCCGAGTTACATTCCTTTCAACTTTGGTGGCATGGGCCCTCTTGGTTAAGTCTTCCCGCAAACGACTGGCCTAAGTCAATCAAAGCAACCTCAGATGAAACTCAATTAGAATTCAAAGCTTGCGAAATTCATCAAGTCAACACTCCTGAGTTGTGGGATTTAGCTTCCCGCTATTCCTGGTGGCCGAAGTTAGTGCGCGTCACTGCATATGTTTACCGGTTCATAGATAATTGCAAAACAAAGCGACAAGGAAAGCATGACAATCTTCTCAACTCTCACGCTCTCACAGCACCCGAATTCAACCGAGCTCGGAATTTTTGGATACAAACAGCTCAAGCTGCCGTGTTCGAGAGCGAACTTCACAAATTGAAACTTAATCAAGCCGTATCTGTAAAATCTTGCATATATTCATTAACTCCATTTCTTGACTTTACCGGTTTGATTCGAATCGGGGGGCGACTTGAACATTCTCAATTATCATTCGAATCCAAACATCCACTCTTGTTAGCAGATCATCCCATTTCTACTATAATCATTTCATATACTCATATTGTTTCCCTTCACACCGGTGTTCAAGCTACACTCGCAAAAATTCGACAACAGTATTGGATTCTCAAAGCTCGAAGTTTAGTCAAATCAATTATCTACAAGTGCGTTAAATGCACACGGGAAAAGGCTCAAGTAGCCAATCAAATGATGGGTCAACTTCCTAATAGTCGCGTATCCGCACCAGCTCGAGCATTCTCGCACAGCGGTGTCGATTACGCTGGTCCCGTATTCACGCGCGCATCAGCTGGTCGAGGAATCACCTCTCGAAAATCGTACATAGCAGTTTTTATTTGTTTAGCGACTCGTGCAATTAATTTAGAGCTAGTCAGCGATTATTCTACCTCCACCTTTTTGAATGCGTTTCAACGATTCTGCGCAAGGCGTGGACTACCCGAAGTCATGTATTCGGACAATGGCACCACCTTCACAGGAGCCGATCGAGAATTGGCACAAGCTTTTCGAGATGCTCAATGCAATCCCAATTTTCTTAATCTCACCGCTTCAGATAGCATAACGTGGAAATTCATTCCCCCTCACGCGCCCCACTTCGGCGGACTGTGGGAAGCCGGTGTTAAAAGCGTCAAGTATCATCTTCGTCGCGTGTTAGGGTCACATACTTTAACTTTCGAGGAATTTACAACTTTACTATGTCGAATTGAAGCCTGTTTAAATTCCAGGCCTCTTTCTCCACTCACTGATTCATTAGAAGATTATGAAATTCTCACGCCAGGTCATTTTCTCATCGGCTCAGCGATCACTACAAATCCCGAACCTTCCATTCTGCACCTTAACAAGAATAGATTGTCGCGATGGCAACTGTTACGGCAAATTATGGAACGCTTTTGGAAGTTGTGGCAAACCGATTACATTAACACCCTTCAACAAAAAACAAAGTGGCGTAAAGAAAAACCGTCAATTCAGATTGGTTCATTGGTCTTAATTCAGAATCCGTTACTCCCTCCGTGCAAATGGGAATTAGGACGTGTCATTCAATGTCATCCAGGCTCTGACGGATTAACTCGAGTCGTTTCAATTAAAACGGCAAGTTCGGAATATAAGCGACCGATAACAAAAATATGTTTACTTCCGATAGACGTTAAGTCCAGCGAACAAATCTCGGAGCCCACCTTATTGTAAATCTACGCTTAGAGGCTCAGTCTACATAAAGCGCGCTTAACACGACAGTCGTAGTTTCAAATTGTAACTCAAATCAATTCTTATCGTCTTCAGAATCCGTCAAGGCGGGCGGTTCTCGAAGTTTAATAATCTATTAATCTCAATTTTATTATACACTCACCCGAAAAAAAAGCGGTACACTGAAAATGTGGGAAAAATTCATCAAATTTCAACTGACGATAACTTCGTAAATAATAAAGATAGAAAGTTCTATAAAATATGGAAATGAAGCTAAAAATCTCTACTTTAAGAATCAATTTATTTCAATGTTGCAAAATAAATTTATTGAAAATGGCGGATGACAAAGCGCGAGCATGCAAAATTGAAAAATAATGGTTCGAGTTTGCGACGGTGCACGGTATAAACAAAAAATTGTAGCTTATTGGGATCAAAAGCGTACGAAAGTACAGAGTCTCCTCTTTAAAATGCTTTTTTATGCATCTTGATACGATGATTTTTCGCCGAGAGATTCGCATTTGAAGAAAAAGGCAGATTCTTACTTCAAATGCGAATCTCTCGGCGAAAAATCATCGTATCAAGATGCATAACGATGACCGATTTATTGTTTTAAATTCATTAAGAGACAGACATCGAACGGCTGTTCAAATTCGAAACAATTTAAGAGATGTCCGCGAATGTAATGTATCCGTTGACACTATTCGAAACAGATTAGCGGAACACGGTCTTTTTCCGCGCAGGCCAGCAAATGTACCTTCGCTTATGCGTCGCCATCGCGTAACTCGACTCAATTTTGCTGTCGAGCATGCAGGCTGGACATATGCAGAATGGAGTACCGTTCTTTTTAGCGACGAATCTCGTTTTTGTCTGTATTCTTCAGACGGACGAGAACGAGTATACCGTCGCGTTGGAGAACGATTTGCAGACTGTACTGTAAGTGAGAGGCCTAGCTACAATGGTGGCTCTGTAATGGTTTGGGCAG